CCGCTTTATACCCGGGCGCGTACTCTCGCATCGAAGGGAGACGAGAATTGCGAGAACGATACAGGAGAGAAGGCCGCGCTCTCGCGAATGTGCGACTTGAGAGACGGCGATCGTGAGCGCTCAGTCACGATATATACCGGTAGCGTAAATGCGGTAGCTCCTTCATCTCTTTCGCCCGTGTCCGTCCCGTTTGCCTTTTTCTACTCATCGACACTTTCACGCCGATGATTCGTCCGGTGGAAGTCGGCTTCGAAAGCGCACGCAATCACTCGGCTTAATGCGTGCCGCGTCGATTAAACTTCCCATCAGCCGGAAAGTGGCATTTGTAGGGCCAATTGCCCGGTCGATCATGCCCCCTCCCCCCCCCCGCGTGCATGCTTATACGTATCTGAATCATAATTGGGTTACGAGTTTCCACACCTGCGTTCCTCGTATACGCTAGATGATGTATACGCGCAATAGCTATACAGTACGACGACCGTTATACCTGACATTACGCGCGCCAATTGCGGCTAATCTTGGATGACGTGTCCTCTTACTGCCTCTTTTCAATTTGAAAAAAAAAAAAGAAAGAAGAAGAAAAAAATACGAAGGTCATCGTGAGACTTTCGAATACGCTCGAATCAATCTTTCGACGCGAGTGAGAGGGACAGAGATAATGAATTGTAACTGTTCTGGGATCACGGGGCGTCAGTAGGAGTAAGCTTCTGCATCGTCATCGCGCTCGCTATTGACCGATACATATTTTCACGGCCGTTTCTCCGTGGCAAATAACGCGAACGTAAAAATTCGAGCGGGGTTGGCGATGATCATCGATTTAAGTGCCCGGCCGTGTGTACACCCGGGAGTGATTCTCGATGACAGCCGTTCCTCATCCCGATGGATATCTGGATGCACATGCTGCTTTAATCGAACGGTTAATGAACCGCCGCTCGCTCGCCCATTGTCAGGCATGCACCACGAAGTGATCGATACGCGCGCTCTCCACGACTCCGCATAATTACGCCCGGTGATTCAATGGAGCAGAGCTAGAGCTGGCCGCGCTCGTATACGGACGATTCACTCTCGGACAAAAGCACCGGCGCGACCCTTTTTAACCCGGGTCTTCTCTTGAGAAAGCATGCGCGATGCGCTTGGCCTTACCTCCTCGCTGTCCACGTCGTTTTGTTACAAAAAGTAAACGGAGTCCGCTATTATAATGCCCGCGGAAATAATGACGTGCGGAGTGACGACATAATCATTGTGACGTTGAAGCGAGCAGATAACAAAATATTATAATCGCATTGTTAAGAATCCCATAAGTTTGACGATGTTGAAGATATTACCAGACGATTCTGTATTTTCATTTCTTATATGTTTGATATATTAAAGTTTATATTTTTATTTCATTTTTATTCACACACAATGGAAATTAATAATAAATCTCTGTACCAATTAAATTATAACATATTTCCTTAACTAATTTTTAACTGATTAACAAAATTCGATATACTGTGTGTACACATATACTTCATATAAATAAAAATTATAAATACTTTATCATAAAAATTTATAATTTATATGTTGATCGTTGATTGCGCTGCGAGATTGTAGATCCATACGACTAGGCAATGCACTGTTACGCTCACAATGCATTATTACTTTCGCCATTATATTATTAGTATATAGTTATTCCGAGAGAGATAAGCACAGTTGGAATTTTGAGATACCGCGGGTTCGGTAATAACAGCGCGCTCTTACTTAATAGCACAGTACGATGCCGTTTAACAAATGATCGTTTCTTTCTACGGCGATGCTACTTTGCGCGAAAAGGGGACCACTATAAGCCCGGCCATCCCACACCGAGCCCCGGCTAAGGCCCCCGATTGCTATTTAGTTGATATTATCATCAAATAGGTAATTTCACCTGGCGAACCTTATATAGCCGAAGCTGGGCATCGCTCCGATCGGGCGCTTCTATATACATATGCAATCACGATGATGATTTTTCGCGGCGATATCGGATATCGGCTTCGTCTGTGCCGGGTAGCCGCGCGCTGGGCCCGATGAAAATAATACCGGATAACGATGTTTTCTTTCAATTTGTTCGCGTCCAATAGGCAACGGTCCGATAGACCGCGGTCGGGGCGTAATTGCATCCCCGGGGAGTGTACACTTCGGAGCGAACCAAGTGCCGGCCCGGTAAGACAGCACCGAGAAATTCGTAGACCCTATTATCCTCGTTCACAAGCACTACGCATTAAGTATCGTGCGCACAATCGCGAGCACGACCTTGCTCGTGACCATGACCCTTTCCCCGTGCACGCGGGATCCATCCGTGTGGCGGACCGAGTGGTTCGCCACACTCGCTGGCCCTGAGATCGACTTGCAGCGATGTGCTTGCAGTCTTGGGGGCTGTCGGCCGTTACTCATCCGTTTTCACCGTCGAATGCGTCCGCTCTCCCTTTGGTCGCCGCTTCTTGCTGCTCGCTCGAGATTGGTAAGCAACGCGCAACGAGGACACCGCGTCCTTAAAGACACACCTTTGTTCACTAAAAATTCAAGAAACAGAGGCAAAGAAATTTTAATATGCATTATAATATATATCTAACATGTTTTACCTGAACAATAAAGTAACGTTTTTGAGTAAATTCATTAAAAATAAATTGTTATTAATTTATGCGCATAAACAGTGCAGTTTAACTTTTAATTAACGTTTTAAAAATAATAAATTAAATTCAAGAAAAAATAATATAATATGTTTATTATAGTTGTATTGTATAATTAACGTGATAAATAGACAGAAAATAGAGGCGAAACGTTAACAAAGGAGTATCTTTGAATGTCTCTTAATTATATTTACATTTTCTAGAATATACATATATTAAGATTACATTCCAAAGCGTTGCTTTCGAGGAAAATTTTACAAAAAAAGCTATAGTTTACGTTATATGTGCTATAGCTTTTTAATAAAATTTTCCTCGAAAGCAACGTTTTGGAATGTAGTCTAATATGTCTACAGAATAATTTATATACGCTGTGTTTCATTTTACTCTGTCCTATGCGGAAATGCAGTTTCGGCTGCATGGATGATTAACCAGACTAGTTGATTACCATTTCCAAGATTACTCCCGTGTTCAGACAGTTTCAATCATTTTCTATGCGCAATAGTACGCATGCTGAGATAATGGCAACAAACACAGATGAAAATGGAAGCTGACTGGCATAAATCTGATGCAGATGGCGTCAATTCAAAATTAATAACTAGAAATCGTTAATTATTCCATTAAATGAAAAACAATCGCGGATTGTTCTATATATATTATTATTTGGTATGTAAAAAGTATAAACTCTTATTAATCATGAATAACAGTACAAAATTTGATTTGCATTTTATGTTGCATAAGAGTATATAAGTGTCACGGAACCGTTTTAGTGAATAGCCAACTTACGATTCGGTACTATTTGCCACTATATTGTTGCCACATTACGTTATTACCACGAGACTAGTAATTACGCAGGTGCATCCCGCTGGATCACGTCGAAAAGGAAAACGCGGGCGAGCGCGAGAGCGAAGAGATACGAGCCGACGTAGCTCATCCGCCCAACGAATTATCGTTTCCGGCCCCTCGGTTGATATTATCATGATGCAAATTGTATATAAACCAGCCGTAAGTCTTCCACGTCATAATACAAAAGCGCAAAAATCAGATAAAACGTACGATGATCGATGTTGCGCACTCCCGTTCTTCGCGGAACGATCGGTTACAATAAATAACAATAATAAATAAGCTCGATCCTGTCGAAATCAATGAATAATCGAGGCAATTAATAAAGAACTATTTTCTTCGGTTGTCTAAGGAGTGCAAATTGCATTTTTCGATAATTATGACCAAGCTTCCTGGATGTATAATACATGGATACACAAAAATGGCGTCTAAAAATTTAAACGTAATTTTTTTTCGATATCACGAAAATGAAGAAAACATCTAGAATCTGAAAATTAAACTCGTGTTGAAACTTCCGTGATATCTTTCAGATACTCTTCAGAATAGTCTTGAAAGAGTTGTAGTTTCAAATCGAGGAAGTCTAGGATGTGCCGGAGCGCAGATGAGACCCGAGCTCGTTACCTGCGTTGTTGTTATTGTCGAGTCGACGTGATCATCGGGTACGTGGAGAGTATAGGAACCCGCGGTGGTATCTGGCGACTCTACGGCGACGGGTAGAGAGGACCGGAGAACAAGAAAGAGCCAACCCGAAGCGGCCCGCGGACCCGAGATCGGTTAGGAGAGCCGGAGAGGAGAGAGAATACCGAGCAGTTTCTCTCGGCGCGCCGCACGGACCCTACGTGCTTTTATTACGTGGCCGTGACTCGATGTCTCGAACGAACTCGCGCAGCCATTACGTTTCTTTTTCCCCTCCTTGCTTTTTTTCATAATACTTCTCGGCTTAACGACGTCTCTCCAAATACGTAAGATGCAATTACTAACGAAATGTACATTTCGGTGTGCGCCCGAGACGCGGCGATGCTGATTGTGCCGTGCGTTTGTTATATACTTAGGTCGTTGTTATTAACACACGCTTAAAGCGCGACGTGAGTGTAACCGCGGCAAATGGACACAACGCGAATTAAGACTTGCGAGAAGACAAGTCGTGCTATTAATTTCCCGTCCTCTAATCGTTCGACTCGATCCTTTACGGATATTCTTAATCGCACGGTGCGCTCCTCTATCGCCGCCATTATATCGACAGGGTACTCGTAACCTCATTGTTATCACGAGAAGTGGGGTCGAGACGGAGGAGGAAGAAGAAGAGGAAGAAGAAGAAGAAGAAAAGGAGGAGGAGGAGGAGGAGGAAGAAAGCGAGCTCAGCACGGAGGGCGCCCGCGAACGAAGGCTCGAGAGGAAGAGAAGAAGAGGGTAGCGTCTCTTCACAGGTGTCGCTTCAGAGCGCTACCACTGGAGGCCACATTTGCTCCTGGTATCGCGTACGCGAACGGTAAACCGGCGCTTCGACGCCGGTACTCGACTTCGGCCGGCCAGTTGCGTCACTTCGACCATCCTTGAGCGGGGATGGTCTCAGTTTGATTATACGGTGGTAATCGACGGGTATATTACAGTGCCGCGTATGAATTTCACATGAGAGAGAAAGAGACGATTACAAAGGCTATGAAGAATCGGCGCGGAGCTCTCGCTCTTGAGCGGCAAGTGATGGACCGGTTGCGCGGCCGATTGGAGGCACCGGTTTCAGGAAAGTGCGTGAGCTTCTTCTTCGACCCTGTTTATTAAAAACACTGTGAAGCACGCTGTGACACGAAATTGTGAACACTCAGAGGACTTCATGTCTCACCGTGATAATCCGTTTGTAAGTGACCGACTATTAAACAATCTGTATCAGAATTGTGACAAAATAGTGACAAACCAGCTACAATGCATTTAACGTGAACGTCAGTGCGTTAAAAAGTTAAATGAGAATAATCATATGAAGATATAATTTTTTTGCAAAAATGTAGTTTCTAAATAAAATTTAGCATTTAGCTCGACGATTTTTTGAACGAAGCGGAAAAACTCTTTTGTAACGTGAAGATATTTTGAACTGATTGAACGCGTGAGGTACTTGATCGGTAGTTCCTTATATCAAAAATTGATCTCCATCTATGGTCCATCGAAATCAGAACCGAGAAGGCGTTGGAGACAAGATAGCCGCGGTCGATCATCGTTTGACCGAAGTCAACCGGTGGGACCAGCGAGGACCAGTTCGATACACACGTTCGCGAGGAGCTTCGAGCGTGCATGCACGCGTACGACGACGTCGGCCGTTATGTAATCGACGGCGGCGTTGATCGCGCTCGTAAACAATGTAAGGACCGGTTGTTTAACGGATACTCATTTTCTGTATTTACGATAATGCCTTGAGCGTGTGGGTAGCATTTTCCCGTCGAACACGGCATTCCCGACGGTGCACCGCCACTGAGAAAGAGAGAAAGAGCTGGAGGCTCCGCGTCCCGCGCGGTCGTTTCCGGGCACAGTGCTGCGTGCCCTGCGACGAGGAGGGCGTTTTAAATGCGTATAATTGTCGACGAAAGGGGCGCTCCGATTTTGGCTCCTTTTTCGGGAGGAGCGATGAATTGATTAGCTTGCACGCGGTGAAACGGGGAGAGGACATTATATCGAACACGGCAGTGATCGGCCGTTTTACTTTTCTTGGCGCGACCGACGTTTTAATCGGAAGAGACGATCGACGACATCGCGGGAAGCTTGACCGATCCGTTAGAGGTTAAAGGCTGCTACACACTGCGTGGCTATACGGCGATCGACAAACTACGTTTGTGGTGCTAACGCGAATGCTTCTTCGCGCTCGGTGGTACGCGCGATACCGCATGCGGCGCAGCGAATTCCGAGAGACCGTGAGGATCGCAGACCGTGGCAGAACAATCTCGGCGTAGGCTTCCGACGCGGTCGGATCCAGGGTGCGACAGATATGGATGACGGTGTGCAGAACGGCCTGCAGCCGGACCAGTGGTTGTCATCCATCGAGAAGGGTGAGAAACGCGCGAGCTCCATCGGCAGCGGTGCGTTGCGTTTCATTCGCACGCGCAGCAGCATTCGGCGAGAACTCAAGCGACAATGCCATCGGTAAGACATTAGAATTATTCAAATACGATCAATTAATAACATAAATCTGTGGAAAATTTTGTTTGCAAAAGATGGCGAAAGTAGATTATTAGTAGCAGCGAAAGAAAAGGTTGCGGATAATTACTCTTTCGAACAACACAAGAATGATTGTATTCGACAAAGACTATATATATATTTAACGTATTACAACAAGATTAATACATGTTTCATTCAATATGGATTAATGGATTTCAAATGTATCTAACAATAAGTTGCTAAACAGTTAGAGGAGCCCCTTCAAGCTTGTTTTTACTATTCTATTCGCTCCGGTACGTGCTTAACAGCAGAACATTTCATATCATCGTTTTTCTACGCGCATTGTTCCAAGTGGCAGTAACTGTCACGATATTGCTGGCTTCGTGACGCGCATGAACGTGTTCTCCGTATTTCGTATCGCGTTTACTCTTCATGGTCGAGCTCTCGAAGCGTACGTGAGCGCCTGTGAGCGAGCCTGTGGGCTGGCTGGGACCGGCTTCGCGTTTCGGTCCTTTTGGGACCAACGTTGGCTGCCGGCTAAAAGGACCGCGGAGAACCGAGCGCACGGCTCCGAGTGCGCCGTAACAGGAATGCTGAATGACTTGCGAGTCGTCACGCTGCCAGCGAGTTCGCTGGCGCGCGAAGGTCCGCGTATATATAATCTTCGCGACTTTATCCGACTTTACACATTGCATACGAATGCGCTAATATCGCCGATATTTCACTCGTCTACGCCGGGGTATATCGTTATAATTAATCGACACGCAGGAAACCTCTAACCGGGAGCGTCTCCATGAACGTAATTGGCGGCGTGGCATTCGCGACAGCATGATTGACGATCGATGGTATCCGTAAAGTATAATAAAAGATAACGCGCTACAAACGTCCTTACGTCGTTGGTGGAAATGATAACGCTGCCAAAGCGTGTCAATTCGTACACATGTATACATGTATAAACGGCGTGTATTATACTCCGACGATTTATTCGAGCTTCACTAACGATGTAAGCAATTAGATTATTTACAAATCGACGTTGTATTTCCGCGTGCGATAAGGCTAACCGGCCGATTATTATCCGGCGAGTCGCGCCGGAACGGCCGCGCTTGAAAACTGGTGGATGCCTTCGGTTGGAAGATGTTTCACTCGCGGAGATAATCCCGGGGACCTATTACACCCCGGCGTCATCGCGTAATCTGCTAGCGGAAGGTCGGCGGATTCTCCGGATTATACCAACGGAATACCGTTTGATCGGCAAGCGGAGAATGAGCCGAGATGAACCAGGAAGAGCGGAGGCAATCTGCAGAATTCGCGGTCCTTGCGGTGCGTGAGAAGGCTCCGCGCGATTAGTAATAGGCGCTCCGACGGAATCTGAGACACCGGTGGTCTCTACGGGCGGACAGGCTTATTCCATTCTGCAATAATGTGCGACGGTGACTTCGCTTGCACTCCGACAAAGTAAATATTATTTATAATTCGAGGGACAATTTCGCGGTATTAATATCGAAACGTGCGGCTATACAAGCGTGCTGCAATTGATGCTTTCAATTAAAAGTATAAGTTTGCAAAAATTACGAATATAGTGACATTTGTCTTTTCACTTTGATTTTAATGAGCCCTAACGTGTCTAATACAAATAATTTGCAGTATCGCTAATTGTAAATTAATTTTTATGTATACCGTCATGTTTCTGGAAAAATATTCTCTTTTTCCGACACCTGCTCTCTCAAAAGGATCTTATTATGTATTGTAATCATTCGCGAAATTTACGTCGATTTAACGAAGCTATTGAGTACCGAATATGAAGTAAAATTCGATACCGCGCGGACATCTAATGGAACCGGATGGGATTCTAACGCGATCATGAATTCACGTCACGAGACGTATCAAGTTATCCGCTCGACGCTCGTCGCAGGGTCACGCGGCAGATGAAATTCTCGTATTCCGGACGTAATAAAGTGCGCCTTGGTAAGTTACGGACGACATAAATTCTAGATTAGCTACAGGGGGTAACGGGTCGCGGTATAGTATCGAGAGAAGCTTCCACTATTCTATTCCCCGGCACTCGACTCCCCTCACATCCGTTTCACCTGTGGGGTACCCATGACTCGTTGCACCGAGGTGGATGACTCCGGTCGTGGAAAGAGGAGCAACAGCGCCGCGTTTAAGGCAGGCCGGTCCGCAATCGAACGGAAAGAATTATCGCAATATATTCTGTCTTTTAAAGCCGGGAACGGCGGATCGAGGCCCGAAACGCCCGGCTCGTTCGAGAGGCCCCCGTCGCGCATAATAAGGCGCGGAGGCCCACGAAGAGGCCCGCTCTGGCCTCGGAGGTCCCGGACACGCACACGCGCACACGCGCACACGTACGGGCGGGAACATGTCGAGAATCCGCATGGACCAAACACTTCCGTGTTGTACGACTAATGAATCACCTTCGCCGCGGCTCCGAGCCCTTCCACCCTCCCCGGCTACTCCGCCTCTCATCCCTACGCTTATACGAGCCTTTCAATGCAGGGTTTCCTCTTGCAATCAGGCTCCTCGCGCTCGAACGTTTATCGGGCGTATTGGAATTCGCGATAAGGTCTGACCTTATCGGCACCTCTCCCGACCGGCTTTCGACAACGCCAGACCCAATCGGCGTACTCACCACCGCGCGCGATTATTAAGATTATTTGTTCTTTCGATAAAGCCTGTGCCGTCGTTATTTGCAAGAAGGCTCCATGCCTGCGCGAGATGCAGATTCTGCGTGCAGATACACGTAGGATAGCGACGGGCGAGCGAGAAAATTTTACTACACGTGCACGCTCTGCGAGTCGGCAGATTCCGCTAGCGACGCGCTCGCCCGATTTAAACGGGCGATATTACAAATATTCGCACTTCTCGGACGGCGCGTATCGGCAAATTTCACCGCCGATACGCGACTTTTTCCTCTCTCCTCATCCGTGATATTTATTGCACAGTGTGTCATGCACTCGTTACGACATCCTGGATACGATGTACACGATGTACCGTATACCGATGAATATATTTGCGTAAATGATAGTCGTATTGTCGTACTTTTATCAACGTCGACGTTCACACGACCAATTTTGCAACCGCACGTATATAATACGTGTGCAGCTAATTAGCGCTCGCAGTGTCATTAATTAAGAATGAGAAGACGCGTAGACCGTTACGTTTGTGCTCGGAACAATAATCTTAATAATTTAACGCATCAGTTTGTAATACAATGTTTTAATTAGAGAATGATGCATTTTTTATTTGCACACTTATTAATTGCAGATCAAATCCGCATTTTTTTTCCGTGTACACATCGTGATATTGCAATGACGCTTCTTACAGCAGCGAACATTTTTACAAGATATTAAATGTGATATATATGTCGCATACATTGTTTGAAAATAATGCATGCGTGCATTGTACGTAATACCTAATGCAAGTGCGCCCAGTATAATGCCGAAGTATTATTATCATAAACCTTACGATTACGTTAACGCGGTTATGTACATGTAGAGCTTAGACAAGTTATATAGTAGTATTGTGCCTAGAAAATAGAATTTGCATAATGTGACAATTGAATAGCCGATACTCCCAGACGGAATAATAACGGACGAAACCGGACGGGCCAGGGGGTCTATATAATGCGTAACGACAATGCAGGTTGTTCGGGGCAAGTTCGATTCTTGTATCTAAATCTCAAATTCCGTGCACGGTTCACCGGAGTCGACCTTACTGCCACGATCTCGAACCATTACTCATAAACATTACGTTCAGGTTCAGGTACCGATATTATCCGATGAAGGTTGATAAGACGTTTAGACGGTTTCTCGCGAGCTATTCGTACTACCTTGTATACGTATCCGTATGTGTATACACCAACACACATTGTGTCAATGATGCAGGCAGTCGATAAGCAAGGATGTGCTTATGAAACTTGGCACCTCGTTATCCATCTTCGAGATCTCGAAAGGCACGAAAAATTCATAAACGGTGTGATATTGTCTAACGCGAGCTCTTATGTAATCAAGTTATAAATCCTCGCGAGAGAAGTCTACACAAGGCTATACACGACTAACCATTTTCGTGACCTGGCTGTATACCAAATGGTAGACAACAATAACGATTCCGTAAGAAAAATCGCGCTTTCCTAGGATTATACAATAATATGAACGTGTAAGCTAGCAGTTGTTTGTATTAGATTATTATTTAATATTACGAAAAATGCCGTTGGTACTGCTTCATTAACTTTAATATGTTTAGACTATAAAAATGTTCGAGCGACGCTTCGTTTGTAGATTTATGATTGTACCCACAGTGGTACAGTAATTGAATATAATTGTCATTGGTAACGCAGTTTTGTGGCTTTTCTCCTACGTTTTCATAGTCCTTTTATAATTAAATTATCCACAGTCATGTCTGTATGCCAAGAATGACATCAGTTTTGATAATTTGGTTTTGGTTTAATAACTTTAATAGTATGGGACGCATTTCTTTTATACTGAAAACAGATCAAAATTGCAATTTGCTATCTTAATTCGTAGTTTCTTCTTAAAAAATTTACAATATGAAATGCGAAATAAAAAATTTTGTTGGTCAAATCTTACTGTCTGATAATGTGAAAAAAACATTTCATTAATTCATAAAGAGAAATAGAAAGGATTTTCTGATGTAAATGACATTCTACAAAATATATTAATAAAATATATATCATTAATTAAAATATTAATAATATAAATATTATATAAATAATACCAAAAATATCTTAAGTCAGATTGTGGAAAATTAAAATTGCTATCTTCTAGCTATATTAAATAAAATAGAAAATAACTTATTTTATAAAATTTTGTTTCTCGTAAAATAAAAGTAACTTTACAATCGTTACATTTTGCTATTTTTATACATACACATAATTAATAATACTTTTTATTATAATTAATAATATTTTTATTACTCATACGTGACTTGTCATTATAATTCATACGATT